AGTGATTTTCTCAAAAGAGCCTTCTATGGGAAGAAACTTTTAGCAGAGGTTGGACCAGTCCCCTTATGCCCATGATTTTTCCCCAAGGAAATCTCTTGTAGATTTCTCATAGTAGTCTGTCACTTTATATCCAAGCAACATTTAGGTGGGCATGTAGTATATAGCTATTATTGAAGGAACTTAAAAAGTCACATGACCAGGGTTTAAAAAGGAGTTTGAAGAGGACTGTGAAACAAAGCATTTGATATCTTTTCCCAGTCCTTCTGTCCTTGGTTAGTTAACCTCATTCGAATCTTTGCCATGGATGTACAGTGGTGCCCCGCTTAATGATTACCCCGCTCCACGACGAATCCGCTTAACAATGAGGTTTACGATGTTTAAAAGGGGAAAATCCGCTTTATGACGACCGATTCCCTGCTTCGGGAACCGATTCTTTGCATTACAATGGTTTTAAAACAGCTGATCAGCGGGTTTCAAAATGGCCACCCGCTGTGCAAAATGGCTCCCCGCTGTGTTTTAGGACTGATTGGTCACCTGGCTCCCTGCTGTGTTTTAGGACTGATTGGTCACTTTAGAGGCACCAGAAAATGGCCGCCCTATGGAGGATCTTCGCTGGACAGTGAGGTATTTCGCCCATTGGAACGCATTGAATGGTTTTCTGTGCATTTCAATGGGCTTTTTACTTTCGCTTGACGATGATTTCGTTCTACAGCGATTTTGCTGGAACGAATTATTGTTGTCAAGCGAGGCACTACTGTATTCATTTTTCTTACCAGAATGTATTCTTCCCAGGAGTTCTTCAGCAATGTTGTATAAAACACTTCCTTTTATGAATGAATTAATATTCAGAATTAACAATAGCTATACATAGTGAGTGTGAGTGTTTGCCACACGTGCAATTCAGTAAGCCACATCTCTTGTCTTTCTCTAAAATGTGAAGTGTCTCATTCATTAACACAAGACACATGTCCAATGATCCCTTGTTTTAATTTAACATGGCATCTGGCCAACACTCCCTCTAAGCTGTATGGGTGTGTAGCCCGCAGCACAGTATTGGTGCCGTGCCCCTGCCATTAGTGTTACCGCTCATTGCAGTTCATTTGGTTTCGGGTGCAGCGAGAACTCTGTGTACACGGGGAGGGGTTTCCCATTCAGTACTGGTGCTATATTAGAGGAATGCTGCATCTGACTCAAGTAACCTCCTTGAAGGATGTTTTTAGGAACAAACGTATTTGACCTGATTTTTTTCATTGTGTGGTAGGTACTATTACTGTTTCTCCCTGGGAAACTTACCATTTGTCTGTCTTGGTGACACCTTGGAGGTCTCCACATAAACTGTAACCTCAGTAATTGATTCATCTTTGCTTCTTATCATTGATCAGGATAAATGACAGCATCACATTTTTTATCTTGTTCTTTACTCCTGGGCACATTATTTACTGCTGGATAGTACAGTGGTTTAGGTATCTGGCTGCAGAGCCGGAGGTTGGGAGTTCAGTTTCCCACTATGCCTCCTTGACACAGGCTGGATTCGATCATCGGATCTCTTCTAGTGCTGCAGTTCTGAGATTATTATTACCTAAAGTTATATTCTTAGGGCTCCAAAAAGAGCTACTGGTATCATTATGATTAGCGAGGGGACAAAGCATGACAAAGTGCTTTTTTCAAATCACTCTGCGCAGCACCATCCCCCACCTACCCCAGCAAGCTATCCCACTCACCCTTTGCACGCTGCCGGGACCTTTGGCAGCATGCCAATCCAGGCAGGACCTTGGGCTGCCCTTCCTCATCTCCTCAGTTAGCTGACCACTCATCCGCTGTGCGGTAAGAATCCCCATCCTGCCTCCTTGTGGGTGTAATCGGGTGGATGAGGAGGCAGGAAAGGGCAGCCCAAGCTCCTGCCCAGATTGATATACCACTGGAGAAAGAGGTCACTGGTGGTCCATGAAGAGTAAATGGGCCGGCCAGCTAGGGGTTAGGAGATAGGTTTATGTGGTACCTGTGGTGCCACACGGAGAGATTTGTATGAAGCACTTTGTCACACTTTGTGCTCATATCTATGATACAAGGCGAGTGGACGTATGTATTTAATGTAGTTAACTAACAGACAAATTCAAGAAATAACTTTTTTGTCTGTTTTTCTTCACAGCATACAGATCCTTTTAGGTTTTAATTCAGTTTGAGGATATTGGTGTTCAAATTAAGTATTCTTCCCCCCTCCAATACACACATACTATTTAATGTTTTATTACAGTGTTAGGAAATACTCTTTACACCATTCAAACATAAAATTTTAAATCCAGACATAGTCATATTTAGGATGTAGTCATTTAAATTAGTGGAGTCTTTTAGTCTTAATGATGTTAAGTCCCATTGATTCAGTAATTTTTAATCTAAATACTATAATGTGTGAAGCAGATTTAGAAATATTGATATTGTATCATTGATGAGTGGGTGATGGAGAACTATTCCCCAGTACCTATAACGTAACTTCAGACCTATGGATCCTGCAAAGGAAGAAGTACTTTATCTTTCATCAGTCCCAGTGCATATGCCTGCCTAATATAATTAATTGGCTTGTCTTCCTTTCTATGCTTTTCTCCCACTTCTAAAATATTCTTCAGTTAACTATTTATGGCCATTTTACTGACTGTATGTTTTCTCTTGCGAATGATAGCATTGGTTTCTTTTGCTTTCACCTGTCACCTGTCTCTAATTGTTGTGACAGAGCTTCTTAGTTTCTGCTGTGTCCCCTCTGTTGGGGTGGTTTGTTCCCCATAAGAAAATGGGTGTGGTGTCCAGCTATGCCTCTGATTCATTTATTTCATTCTGCCACAGCCTATGTTACTATTAATTACCTTTCTAGAGATACTGGGCTTAACCAATATTATAAATTGTACTTACTCATTTACAGTAGGACCCCCCTTATCCACAAGATCAGTATCCACTGATTCACTTATCCATGGTCTAAAAAGATGACAAATATTAAAAGAAAAAAATCCAGAAAAAAAATATTTTCACATGTATTACCAGAACTGGCCAGTACAGGGAGCCAGAAACCATGCTATGAATACTTATATACTGTATATAATACTTTTATATATATACTTATATACGTACATTTATATGAGGGGGTGCTGATAAGTATTAAGCCTTTCCCAGAAAAAAATGAGCTAGGAAGCTGTAACTGCCACACTATTCTACATATTCCCCCAAGAAGTCAGTGCACTTGTGACATCTGTCCTGCAGCTTCTTAAGTCCCTGCAAATAAAATTCTTCCGACTGCTGATGTATCCACTCATTTACAGCATTATTTGCCTCCAGAACACTCCCAAATCATTGTCCTTTTAGGTGTTTTTTGAGTTTGGGGAAGAGATAATAGTCAGAAGGAGCCAGGTCAGGAGAGTAGGGTGGATGAGGCATCACTTGAAAGCCTAAGGAGGTCAGTTTTGTCATTGTTTCACCTACAGTGTGTGACGAGGCGTTGTCATGCAACAGGATGACACCTTTGGAGAGCTTTCCTCAACGGTTTTCCTTGATGTTTTGGCTCAACTTCATCAATAAAGCACAGTAATATTTTACATTGATGTTTCAACCCTGTTGGAGGTAGTCCACCAGCAGAACTCTCTTCTTATCCCAAAAAACTTGCCATTTGCTTCTGCACCAACCTTTGCATTCAGAACTTCTTTGGCCTGGGGGAACCACTGTGCCTCCATTCCTTGGACTGTTCCTCTGTCTCAGGATCATAACAGTAGATCCATGTCTCATCACCAGTTACCAGTTTGCCCAGGAAATCTGACTTATTTATTGCAAAATGTTCCAAAACAGCCACCAATGACTCCACACGTTTCCTCTTTTGTTCGGTTGTCAAAAGTTTGGGGATCCACTTTGCTGCCAGCGTTCTCATTTCCAAGTTGTTGTGGATAATGGCACCAACTCCCTCACATGATATTCTCAGACATATAGCAATACTTCAGGCTGATATTTGGTGGTCCTTCATGATCATGTCATGGATGGCTTTCACATTTTCAGGCACAGAAACAGAAACAGGCCTTCCACTGGGTTTCTCACTTTCAACACTGAAATGACCAGTTTAAAAATTGGCAACCCAACGTTTAACTGTTGCATACGAAGGGCCACTGTCACCCATAGTTTGTGACATTTCATCATGGATCTGCTTTGCACCTTTCCCTTGGAGAAACAGGAACTTGATTATGGTCCTGTGATCTTCCACATTGAACTTTTCTGGAGGTGCTGCCATGTTCAATTTGAAGCTGAAAATGAAAGATAAGTTAAAATCACAGGTAGTTGATTTTTGCACCATTGAATACAAATTGGCCAATACTCCCTTTATACACACACACACACACACACACACACACACACATAAAAAACTTTATTTATTTACATACATAATGTATTTCTATATATAATACTTTTATATATATTGTTCGCTATTATCCATGGTTTTCAGTATCCACGGGGGCTTGGAACCAATTCGGAGTGAATATGGGGGTCCTACTGTGCTTGGACATTCCAAGAACAAATTGTAGCTACTTCACCAGTGTCAGCATGTACATAACTAATGTTCCATATACAGTTACCTGTGTCTTCCAGGACATGATTGCAAAGTTCGTTCTCAAGGACACACACTCCTGATGTAGATGAGAACTAAATTCTTACTGGGGTTTCCTGAATAAGAGTCATTAGTACATGGGACTACTTTAATTGTAGCATGTTTACTTATCTTTGAAAAGCAAAACTGCTGCTCTTGAAATATTTGGTATATTAACTGTAACACAGAACTTGGGGTGACTTTAGGCCTGTGCTGGTGTTTCACTGTGTCTCAACCCTGGCTGTTGTGTTCATACAAGACAAAATATACAGCAATTTCCCCTATTCAACAGAATAGAGATCAGAGGGCTATATATTGTTTATGAGAAGAACAATATGATTTTTTCATTTTTCTGAAGAACTGAACAATTTAATTTTTGTTTCAGGTGCTACAAAATACACAGATAAAGACAATGGAGGGATGCTTGTATGGTCTCCATATCATAGTATTTCAGATGCCAAATGTAAGTTATATTCAGTGCATTGAGTAGAATGTTAGAAATTGTTGTCTGTAAGGATTATACGTTATACAGTTGCTACATATAAAGTTATCACTCATAGGAATTAATCCAGAGGTGGGAAATCTGTCTCCTCTCCATCCCACTCCACCCCGATGTTGGATGCTACCTTCCATCAGTCCAACCAGCATGAACCAAGGTGATGAATGATGAGAGTTGTAGTTTAACGACATTTGAGGGCCACAAGTTTTCCATCCCTCAATTCATGTGCAACTGATGTACACATCGTAAGATAATATTCATTCATGCAGATTTTTGATACTGAGTTCCTGAAGTACACATGAAATGTGACTAGTCATAAAAATTCAAGCTGAGTAGATATCACACCCTGCAAACTATATATTGATTTCATATTGATTTCGACATAGAACTATCGTGCTGGATTTTTTAGATGTGTGAGGTAACTCTGTAGTGCTGTCTGCATTTACTCTTGGAACAAATTAAATAAGTTGCCGCTGAAAGATCTAGCCTGCTGGCTGTCTGTTCTTGAAGTTTTCTTGAATCACTTTCCCTCTTTGTAACAATATCAAGTTGTATGTTATATTAATTGTAAATTATTACTATCCAGGCATTTCCCAAGATGTAGATTCTTAACCTTTTTCAGTCACAGATCCCTTTGAGAATATGATAAAAGCTAGTTGACCCTTTCTGTAGAAAAATGCACACAAACATATACACAAAGGAAATCCGCACCCATTTTTAAAGCAACAGAAATAAATTCAAAGGAATATCTGCCTTCCGCCTTCCCAACCTTCACCCCGATGTTTTCCCCTCATGCTGTTGCTGTGCTGTCACTGTCCTCCACTGCTGTTGCTCCTGCCTTCTTACTCATGAATAATTTTTAATACAGTGGTGCCCCGCTTTACGATTACCTCGTTAGACAAGGAAATCGCTTTACGATGGGTATTTTGCAATCGCCATAGCGATTGCAAAACGATGTTTTAATAGGGAAAAATCACTTGCCAATTGGTCCCCTGCTTCGAGAACCGATTTTTCGCTTAACGACGATCAAAACAGTTGATCGTGGGGTCTTCAAAATGGTCGCCCGCTGTGCAAAATGGCTCCCCGCTTTGTTTTAGGATGGATTCCTCGCTATACAGGCACCGGAAAATGGACGCCCTATGGAGGATCTTGGCTGGACGCTGAGGTATTTTGCCCAATGGAACACATTGAACCGGTTTTCAGTGCATTTCAATGGGTTTTTTACTTTCGCTTGATGACGATTTTGTTCTACAGCTATTTTGCTGGAATGGATTATCCTCATCAAGCGAGGCACCACTGTATATCAAAGCTTTTATAGTTATAGTTGCATGTTGTCAAGTCAGTTTTTACATGACAATCCTTTCCAGAGTTTTCTAGGTAGAAAATACACAAAAGTGATTTACCATTTCTTCTGGCGCACTCTGGGACTGTGCAGCTACACAGGCTGGCTCTTCCTCAAGGAAGAATTAAATTGCTAACCGCTGGTTTTGCAGCCAGGTGCCTAAACTACTAAACCTTAATCGCAAGTAAGCTGGTGATCCAAGGACTTGTCTGGATCCTTCTCATGGGAAAGTAAACATCTCCAGTGTGAATGAAGAGATTGCTTTAGCACAAAATAAAAGATAAGAACTTTTTAACCCCAAACCAGATGGTTCCAGTTTACCCATGAGGACAAGCCTTAAATTGCAACCACTTCTAAAGTTGGCATTATTGTTGCTGATCTTACTCAAATAATATGGATGAACTCTGGTTGAAAAAAAAAGCCCCAATGTTCTCCATCTACCAGTCCTATATGTGGGTTTGGTTTTTACACCAAATTTGGGATAGGTATACCTGTGCATCAGGTGAGCTAGAACCAGATTGAAGTCGAATAGCAAACGGATTGAAAGGTTTATACATTTGCTAGATTCATTATTTGGCTTGATCTCTGGAATGGTTTCAAAGTAGTAAGCAGCAAAAAGTCAATCAAAATGATACCAAGTCAGAAAGCTATTAATCTGCTTTCCTTATGCAAGAAATTGTTGGAAAGTTTTGATACAATGATCAAGAAGGGTCTTCTTTCTATGTATAATCTGGAACATGCCTTTGAATATGATAGAATTGAAATAAAGATGTTTTGCTGCTTTTTACTGGGCTAATTAAATGTATTTTCTTCACTTGTACTTAAGTAGCCTAACTCCATGTATGATTTCAGTCTTGGAATTATAATCAATTAATTCATTGAAATGAATGGGATTTGTTAGTCACCATTTAAGTCCCATTGCTAGCTATGAAACTGATCTGGTTGGAGCTAGCATTGGATTTAGCTTTTGGCTGGCAGTCATCATTTCCTAGAAGACTCTTTGGAATATCTTCCAATTAGGAAAAATAGTTATTTGCCTGGGCATAAACATCTCAGTAGATGAATGTGTGTGTTAAAGGAAAGGAACTTGTTTACTTTTTTTGTAGAAAAGAGATAAATGTGTTGTCTGGCAGTAAACTCAGTTATCCTAAACTGCTGTAATTGGATGGGAAAATAATTATGATATTCCTTTGTTACACAGTGGATGAATACATTGCAATAGCAAAGGAAAAACATGGGTACAATGTGGAACAGGTAAGATTTACACAAATTAGTACGAGACATGTACTGGAAAAATGTTATGTCCAAACTTTGAGATGCAATAAATAATACAAGCAGTATTTTTAATAGACTGTTAGGAGAAAAGGACAAAAGGTACTTCAGTTCAAACTCTTTCAAAAAGAACACTTTAAACCTGTTTCTGGAAGGAAAGGAGAAGGGGGTCATAGGAAAGGAAGGGGGAATTCCACAAAAAAAAGTATACACCAAAAAAAAAAGGCCCTTAATGTTATGTCCAAACTTTGAGATGCAATAAATAATACAATCAGTATTTTTAACAGACTGTTAGGAGAAAAGGACAAAAGGTACTTCAGTTCAAACTCTTTCAAAAAGAACACTTTAAACCTGTTTCTGGAAGGAAAGGAGAAGAGGGTCATACAGCCCTCCTTTGGAGGGAATTCCACAAAAAAAGTGTACACCAAAAAAAAAAAAGGCCCTGGTTTTGCTGAATTAATTTGTCTTCCATGGACCAAGAAGTAGAGCTTTGGAGGAACACAGGTAATCTCTATCCAAACATGGCATGTGTAGCACAGATGTGCTGATCAGCAATCTGCTAGCAAAATATTCTGCATAAAAATTATTTCAATGGAAATAGTGGAATAGGATGGTTTCTTATTTTAAAAGAAACTCATGCCATTTATTATTACATTGTATTTGATAATTAAATTTTGAGAAATAATTATTGGTTTGAAGTAAAAAGTTATAGCCGCCTAGAGTGGTCCTGAGTTGACTAGATAGGCGGGATATAAATAAAATAAATAAAATAAATGGTTGAAATTGTTCTTTTAGTCCAGTAATGAACTTTAGACTGGATTAAAAACATGGGTACATTCATGTATGCTTTTTATAGTAACATACAGTACTGTATACACATTGTTGATGAGAAGATAAGTTCTATTTTTTGCTTAAGTTAAATTAAGGAAAAATGTAAAAGCCACTGTATAAAGAAAGAAAGAAAATAGTCAAGAGCACTGTAACACCTTGGACTCATCAACTACTTCAGAATAACTGGATCCCTGAGGAAACCACGCCTCACAAAGAAGAAGGACTCGCCATTTAACCCTTTTCCTTAAGGACACAAGTCCTGCATACTATAAGGTGTCGCACATCTGCTTCCCAAAGATACTTGTTATGTTGTTCAAAGATTTCCGAAGGGAAGAGTTAGTCTTGTTGGGGGAAACGATGGACAACCACAATTGTCATCCTATAACTCCTTTTTTAAGATTATTGTATAACAAATAATCAAACAAAAATCAAAGGGAAACAAATACATGGGGGAGAGGAAAGAAAACAAAACACAACAAAAGGCACGGGGAAGTGTTTGCAGTAATACAGTATCTAATATAATCTTGGCTCCACGGCTGTGTTACGATACTAAAATGCCTAACATATGCTATATTCTCTATTCATATTTTTTTCTGGGACCAATCATAAAACATTTTCCAGCTTTCTTTAACATATATTCTTGGGTTTTCATGTAAAGCCTCTGACGGGCTATCCATTTCTACAATATACAATAATTTTTAAAGCAGCTCCTCCATCTTCAGATTTTCCGGATTTTTCCATTTTGGGCCCAGATCAACCTTGCAGCTGTAAATATGTGCAACAAGATACATTATATGTAATTTTTTATCAAGAATTTCTGGCATTATATTCAGCAAAAACATTTCTGTTTTAAAGGCTATTTTGGTTGTATGATTTCTTGTGTAATATCTTTTATCTGTCTCCAAAATCTTTTTACTCTATCACATGTCCACCACGAGTAAAAAAAAGTCCTGGATTGCTGACAGCACTTCCAACATGAGTTGCTAGCCCCTAAAACAATTTTTGTCAGTTTTACAGGTGTAAAATGCCATCTATAGAACATCTTTAAAACATTTTCTCTCAGGTTTACTGGTTTAATCAATCTATAGTTATTCCACATTCGCGTCCAATCATCACAGTATGTCTATATTATAACCCAAAATTTTTATAATCTTACCATTAGTATAAATCTATAGCTCATCCACCTGTACCTTCCCCTCATAAAAGCCCATTATTTTATCTTTTTAAAACCTTAATTCTAATTTTAGCATTGCCCACCAATCTATCGGTAGACCCATTTCCTGCAGCTCCTGTATATTTTTTAATTATTGCTCTTTGTTTAACAGTTCTTTATACATATATCTCCATTCTTCTGAGATTAAAGAAGGTTGTGTAAAAGCTTCCAAGGGAACCCATATCAGAATTTTTTTGTATACTTGGCCCTGAAATTTTTGCTAGACCTGGTATAACACTTTCCTTACAATGTGATCAGAAAAAAGTGTTTGGTCTTTGCCCTTGCTATACTGTATGTGTGTGTGTGTGTGTGTGTGTGTATGCCATCCTAATCTCAAATCATGCCCTTCCAATTTTAGAAGTCTTTGGTCCTCCAAAATAATCTATTCCTTTATCCAGTTAAGAGCAGAGGCTTTGTAATACAGTGGTACCTTGCTAAACGACGACCTCGCTAAACGACGAATCCGCATGACGGTGACTTTTTGTGATCGTTATAGCGATTCACAAAACAGGCATTCCTATGGTGGATTTTCTTTGGACGTCGATTAGGTCCGTGCTTCGCGAACTGTTTGTTTGCAAGACGACAATTTTTTCGGCTCCGCAGAATGGCTTCCCTGTGTTTTCCAGACCCATGCTTCTCAGGGCAGCCATTTTTACAGCTGATCGGCGCTTGCAAAAAAGCTTCCCTATGGATGATCTTCGCTGGACGGTGAAGTATTTTCCCCATTGGAACGCATTAAACCGGGTTTCAGTGCATTCCAATGGGGAAAGGGTTTTCGCATGACGACGATTTCGCTAAACAGCTATTTTCCCAGGATGGATTATCGTCGTCATGCGGGGCACCACTGTATATTAAACAATTTGGTAAGCCCATTCCTCCTCTTTCTTTTAAGTCCTGTAGGGCTTTGAGTTTTATTCTCGGTTTTTTAGCTTGCCATATTTCTCGTAAACTTAGACAACACAGTGTCTACCTCCTTAATATATTTATAATTCAGCAGTATTGGCAAATATTGGAACAGGAACAGAAGAATCATCCCGGGCACCACTGTATATTAAACAATTTGGTAAGCCCATTCCTCCTCTTTCTTTTAAGTCCTGTAGGGCTTTGAGTTTTATTCTCGGTTTTTTAGCTTGCCATATTTCTCGTAAACTTAGACAACACAGTGTCTACCTCCTTAATATATTTATAATTCAGCAGTATTGGCAAATTTTGGAACAGGAACAGAGGAATCATCCTATAACTCCTGATTGTCCACATGGGCGAAAGCGTCAGCTTTCCAGAAAGTAGAAGTATTCAAAGGTAGAACTGTACTATTGAATAACTGCTGTGGAAAAAATGGCTTTTTAATGTGTCCCTTTTTAATGTCTCTCTTAGGAAAACTTTAGTATACGATTATGCTAGAGTCATCGTATAATGGAAGAGTAATCTAAAAGAGCATCTATTTGAAAAGGAAATGCATTGTTGAGATTATTATTATTATTATTGGGACTACAACTCCCAGAGTCAAACATAGTCACTAGTAGTCATGCTAACTGTGGGCTTTTGGGGTTGTCGTCCAGAAAAGTAACATGTTCCATATTTGTCAAGGTGACATAAAACTGTAAGGAACTAATAAGTGTTACTGTGATAGAAACAGTCCTTTTTTCCCCTCCCTCTTTCAAGGCACTTGGCATGTTGTTCTGGCATAAGCACAACATTGAGAAGTCTCTTGCGGATCTCCCAAATTTTACTCCTTTTCCAGATGAGTGGACAGTTGAAGATAAAGTACTCTTTGAACAAGCTTTTAGTTTCCATGGAAAAAGCTTTCATAGAATCCAACAAATGGTAAGGAAATGCTTGTAGTATTATTTGAAAATGTTTGGACAAAACAGTGCTTGAGAAGTGGACTTAAGCCACAAAAAATGTCTCATTTTCAAAGTGTCAGTATTACTCCTGGCTGGAGGCTCCCCTGGCCACCTCATTTCTTCCCCAATGCATCAATGGGCATCTACCAATTCTCCCACATGCTGTCTCTTCTCCTTCTGTCCATAGGTATATGAAATTTTTCTTAAATTCTTAAAAGAATCTTATGATTATGAGAAAATGAAACAAGTGCTTTTTATATGTATATTTTGTGGTGTAAACTTTTATTCTTGTTGATAAAGTACATGTTTATGATGATTTGGAAGCCTTTCGAATTTTTATGTTGTATACATAGAACCTGATATGTTTCTGTTGTTGGTTTTAATATTCTCGTCTGTATACCCCTGTTCTAGCAATTTAAATCTATGAATCCATCTTCCAAAAATTGAAAAAAAATTGTGGGTTACTATACTTCATTCACAGCATTAATAACCAGTTTCTATATTTTATTTTTACACATTTTAGCTTCCAGATAAAACTATTGCAAGCCTTGTGAAATACTACTACTCCTGGAAGAAAACTCGTTCTAGGACAAGTTTAATGGATCGGCAGGCCAGAAAGTTAGCTAACAGAAATAATCAGGGAGACAGGTAAGCAACATGTATTTTTTTTTTGAAAATAGAACATTGTTTGTTTGTTTACTGCACTTCTGTGCCACCTTTCTCATAGCAGTGGGATTCAAAATGGCTTGTAGATCATTAAAATAGTCAGGAATTAGAATAACATACAGGAAAAATTAAGAAAATATTATAAGAAAGTATTAAACATAGAAATATTAAACTAATCATATAAAAACAAATCAAGATGTGTACAAGCATTTTAAAATGCATTAAAAAGGATATGGTGGCACCAATCAGCACAACCAGTTATGTTACAATTAAATACTAAATGCCTGTTACAACAAAAATATTTTCCGTTCCTGACAAAAAGAGGGGCGAGCCTAGCATCAAGGGAAGGGCATTCCATAACTGGGGGCAACTACTGACAAAACTCACTCTTGGGTTCCTGTCAAGTGTACCAGTAAAGGTGACAAGATTGTAAGAAGAGCCTCTCCAGGCAGTCTTAAGACTCAAGGAGAGTTATATGGGGAGTAAGGGTCTATCATTTAGCTGGGACCAAAACTGCATAGCAATTTGAATTGGGCTTGGAAACATAACCAGTGAGGCTGGTGTAACAGAGAAGTTAAATGCTCCATATAGCCAGCCCTGGTGAATAAGCTGGCTGCAGGATTTGTACCAGCTGAAGTTTATAAACTATCTTCAAAGACAGGCTCATGTAGAGCCCGTTGCAGTAGTCCAAACAGGATGGAACTAAGACTATAGTGAAATAGGACATTTCAAGGAACTGGCACAGCTGTCACATTAATTGTGCAAATACACTCTTGACCATTATTATGAATTCGATTCCAGGCTTAAAGATGAGTCAAGGAGTATTCTCAAACCACAAACCTAGTTTTTCTAAGGGGAATGTAACCACATTCAGCACAGATTGTATCCATATTAAAAAACAAACTAATTTCTGAATAGAAATGTTTTTAGATTATTTAATGTTATAACGTAGGGTGTCCTGGGGTCGTCAGTATCCCCAGTGCTGTTCAGCATCTATGTTAAGCTGCTGGGGGAGGTCCTCGGGAGATTCGGAGTATGGTACCATCAGTATGCTGATGACATGCAACTCTGAATCTCTTTTACCACCTCTGCAGTGGATGCTGTCCAGATACTTTAGCAATGCCTAGCTTCAGTATTGGAGTGGACCAATATAAATAGGCTCAAACTGAACCTAGATTGGAGTGGGGGCTATGAAAGGTTGGAGGGGGTTGTACCTAGACTGGATGGCATTGTCCTCCCATTTAGGGATCAAGTTCGTAATCTGGGCATTCCTCTGGACCCAGCTCTTTCTTGGGATTCCCAGACCTCAGCCATGTCCAGACCAGCCATTAACCAGTTTAGGCTTATTACCCAGCTCTGCCCATACCTAGATGAGGGTTCCCTCAGGCACTGCTGAACTCCCAGATCGATTACTGCAGTGCTGCCCTTGAGTCTGACCCAGAGACTACAGCAGGTTCAAAATGTAGCAGCCAGACTAGTGGCTGGTGCGAACAAATTTGATCACATCACTCCTGTCTTGGCCAGCCTCCATTGGTTACCTGTGGTGTCCTGTATCAGGTTCAAGGTCTTGATACTTACATATAAAACCCTTCACAGTTTGGTAGAGCAGCTTTCCGCAATACCTTTTGCCCAAGAGCTTCTCAGATAAACACAGGAAACACCTTATTTCAGCTAAACAAAACATAGAACATTAGTGTACAATATGCAAAAATATGAACAAAAGTATATCAACAAAAGTGCATCAAACAAACAATATCCTAACAATGTTCTGTCTGATACTAAGCAAGTAAATAATATGATAAAGTTTTCCAATATAAATGTGCACAGTCCAATGTTTCTACTCATAAAAGATCAAAGTCTAAGGTTTGGAAGTGTTGAGTAAAAAGTCAATTCAAATGTGATGAGCTTCGAGCATAAATAATTGTCCACTAAACTTGTTTTGTGGTATTTTTACTTCTTCAGTAAAAAGAAGTTACTACTTTGGAGGTAGTAAAAAAATTTACTGCCTCCAAAATGCTGGAAACAGGAACATTCATGAACAATATAATTCAATTCCACATGCTAGGATCCTCTTATCAGTATGTTGGTTCTCTGCTGTTTGATGGTTTGATATAAGTTGTTGATACACTTTTGTTGATATTTTTGCATATTATACACTAATGTTCTAAGTTTTGTTTAGCAGCAATAACGGAGTTTCCTCTCTTTGTTTATCTTTTGTTCAGTACTCCCTAGATTTCGATAAGGTTGTGAGAGTTTCTCAGGGCAGGCTCCTCTAGGTAGCAACCCAAAGAGAGGTCCAAAAGTCATGCACTAGAGGTAGCGCCTTCTTGGTGGTCACACTGAGACTATGGAACCTGTTCCTGAAGGAATTACGCCAGACCCCTCCCTGTATTAATTTAGGAGACGGCAGAGAACATGACCCTTCAGGGATGCTTTTCAATCCGAACCTGGCTGAGCGCTTCCTATCCAGACTACTTTTTAATGAAAATTTGTTGGTGCCATTGGTTTTTATGCTTATGTGCGGTTTTTGCTATTTGCATTATATTTTAGTGTTTATTGTTTGTTTTAGTTTTTAATTGTCAGTACTAATACGGCAATACATACATACATACATACATACATACATACATACATACATACATACATACATACATACATACATACATACATACATACATACATACATACAGTATTGAAATACATCCCTACACAGAATGTGTTTCTTCTTGATACATGTCTGTGATTATGATTGTTGGCAACCAACACTTTATTTTGCACAATCACAATATTCCCTTAATGAGTTGAGTCAGGATTTTTTACACTTCCTCTTGTGAAGCTGTGTTTTCAGAATGTCCATGGATTGGAAAGCAAGTATTTTGTATGCAGTAGTTGAATACTAATAAGAGAGGTCCTTGTTTTCTTTTGCCAGATTTGCCAGGATAGAACCATCTGCACCTTCCCATAATATTTCTTTTGCTGCTGCTTCCCAAATATGTTGGATATCCAACCAAACATATAAACAGGCCTGAATTACACCCCATGTTATTGTTTAGCTATGTTTGTATGTTTGGTTGGAGACCAGTTTATGAAAAAACACCAGCAAGAATTGAAGTACAATGGGGTCTTGACTTGAGAACTGAATCCGTATTGGAAGGCAGTTCTCAAGTCAAAAAGTCTGTAAGTCAAGTCTCCATTGACCTACAGTGCATTGAAAACCGATTAATCCCGTAACAGGCCGTTTTTGTTCCATTTTGGTTTTTTTCTGGTCTGTAAGTCAAATCTCAGTCTGCAAGTCAAACCTAAATTTTGCGGCCAGAGAAGTCTGTAACTCAAAAAGTCTGTAAGTCAAGCCGTCTGTAAGTCAAGGGTCCACTGTATCCTTTTTGTAGTTTGCTGTTCTGGTTTTTGTTATTGTCATTCTGCAAATCAGTTTTTAAAATTTTGACATTGAATATTTACTTTGTTTTGCAAAATGCAAAAAAAACCACGACAGGAGTTATTTTCACAACTTATCTGTTTCTGTACTCAGTGATGATGATGCAGAAGAAACTCACCCAATGGATGGAAATGATAGTGATTATGATCCCAAAAAGGAAACTAAAAAGGAGGTAATGAACAATTAAACCATAGTAACCTTGTTGTTTACAAACTTTGGGGGGGCGCATACAGTGAATGTCTAGACAGTTCCAGGCTTCCAGTAATTGTGATTCTCTTGGACCTTCGTTTTTTATTAGCAGCAAAAACATGTTTTTCAGTAGATTTTAGAAGTGTCTTACTAAACCTCCATCTGCAGAAGAGCAGCAGAAAGAAACCATGCAGTGAAGGAAGAGGCCAATAGAAAACATTGAATTAGAAACCAGTAGGGTCTCAAAACATTGGTCAAGCCATATTTGATGGCTAAATCTGTTGCACCTCAGTATGGTAACTAGTACATGACTCTAAACTTTCCTAAAAGTGGCAGATGCTCTCTGATCTTTGTTGACAGCATGAATAAACATGCACATACAAGCAGTGCATAGGTGTATAGACCTGCTGTAAGCATGAATAGCTTACTTGGGGATTAGGTGTGGCTAAATACCACACTATAAACCCTGGATTCTTGACTCTGGTCTGGAAGCGGAAGTGACTTTGGTGCTTCCATAGTACTAATGTATATGAGCTTTTGCAGTTTGTCTATGTTGATCCCATACAATAAGGAAACATCCTGCCAATTCCCCACCCACCCATCTCCATGGTTGGAGTACCCTGTTTCCCCGAAAATAAGACCTAACCTGAAAATAAGCCCTAGTACAATTTTTCAGGATGCTCGTACAGTAAGCTTTACATTTTTTAAGTGGCCACTAGAGGACACAATGGGGCTTTTTTGGTTAAAAAACTCCTCCATTTCTAAGAATTTAGAATTGTTTATTTTATTTATTAAAAATATTTTTAATCCACCTTTCACTTTAGAAGGATCCAAGGTGGCTTATATCATTGAAAAGAAACAGTATTAAAAACTAAAACAATAAGTTATGAGAATAATAAAGAGAATTAAACAACATAGTAAATATAGTAGATAAAAGCATTACTGAAACAGATTATAAAACAAATTATAAAAGCAAACAGAAGTGCAAACAGTCTTATTTTAAAAAAACACCTGTTAGATAGCCAGTCACTAAGGAAATCTGCCTGACTAGCTGTATAGATCAGCAACAGAGATTACTTTCTCCTTTGTACTCACCGAATGCACCTATACACAGTTTTCAATAGGTAACATTAAACTGAATCTCACTTTCTTTCTTTTTTACTTCCAAGTAAGCGTGAGGCCCTGTATCAGGACCATGGACAGTGGGCAGAAGAGGTCTGACTCTTTCCCCCCATTATTTCCTCTCCCCCCCCCCATTAATCCTGACATCTAAGCATTAAAAAGAGATCGGCCACTGTATTGGTATAATCCAGAGTTTGTTTTTTAGCCTGTGTAGGGTTATAATCAGTAATGACTTAACACTTTTTTTAGATCTACAGAACTAATACGTTTTGCTTTTGCTTTTTAAAGGTATGTGTAGTACTTAAGTTTTCTTCACTTTTTAAACGTCGTAGGGCAGTAATGAGCAGCCCGTTCAATCTAGCAAAATTGGATTGGGCAGAAGAGAGTATCAGAGCCTGCAACATCGTCATCACTCCCAGCGTTCTAAATGCCGTCCTCCCAAAGGCATGTACCTAACTCAAGAGGATGTAGTAGCAGTTTCTTGTAGCCCCAATGCAGCAAACACACTTCTTAGGCAGCTGGATATGGAGTTGATCTCACTGAAGCGACAGGTATTTTAGTTACTAGTTTTGATTCTTTATTTCCGATTATTTTTGTATGCTTTTGTAGATAACAAGGTTAAATCCAAAAATGCTTATTAAAGTGAATTTTTATACTGACTGTGTGGGCCTGGTTAATAAGACTAAACTTATAAAACGTCTCCTAAAGAACTTCCAAAAAAACCTTAAAATTGAGATTCTGGTGAAGCACTTGGTCTTTTTTCAGAACGGATATGTGGGCCTGGTGAAGGTCATCCTGATTGTGAGAGTTGGCTCCTCACCTCCCTGAGAGCAAGGGTGATATTCCCAACCCACAGTTCACCTGTGGGCTCAGGTGTTGGCAAGGGAGAGGCAGACAATGCCCTCAAGGTCACAGGTGTAGTAATGGTAGGACTGGGATTTATGGAGGAGGGTGATGTAGGAGAAGAGGACTATTGGGCAGTTGCTGTAGATTCAAAGGTGTGAAAGGCCCAGGAGGTACTACCACTTCTGGCCAATAGTTTTGTGGGAGATTTTTGGGTAGGAGATGGTCTGCCACTTAGGTCTCAAGACCAGGCACTGGGTCAAATTTCTACTACCTCCAGAGGAAGCTGTTCAGGTCCGCCAGGACCAGGCTAAGTTTCAAGAGGCTTGAGAACCAGTGTCAAGCATACCATTGGCAGAGGAAGCAGCAAGAGCAACCAGCTCCATTGCAGGGCCCTTCTGGTCAGCCTGCTTGCGGGTATCCCCGAGGGTCAGCCTCTGGCTTCTCCTCACTTTGTGCTCCATTGCACAGACCAGGCCAGACAAAGTTTGGCTGTGCCTCTTGAGAGGATTACCTCAACTACAGGGTGGTGGCTGTCGGCGGAAACTATGGATGTGTAGTGCGGGAAGGGGCCTTTACTACTCACCGCCAGGTACAGTTGACTGCCTACACCCAGCACCCTTGTTGCAACACCCCATGCCTAGCAACCTATGAGGTGTCCTAGAACTGTTAGAGGAAGCAGAGCCCCACAACTCCAAAGACTGTAAATAAAGTTAACTCCTGGCACCCTAAGTTGTAAAGTTTTATGGTTTTAGCCCAGGTGGCCCTTTAAAAGTTTTTTTTTTATTCCAATAGAGATCCTTTTCCAGCAACTACTCTCCATGTCATCAACAAGGGGTATATTAAGGCTGCTCACAGACAGTTTTATACTTGTCTGAAAAATGCCTAATATGCTTTTAATTGGAGCTATATATATGATTCATGTTGAACCAAACAATGTTTTGTACTTTTTAATTAGATTCTGCTTATGTACCATTCTTTTGATGCTTGATACGATGTTTTCCTCCACAACCCATCAGAAAAATAGTCTGTAATTACATTAAATAATAAGTGTCCTATTACTCCAAGGTTGGGGAGAGGTTTTCATTACTAGTTCTATATTCATTCTGTTTGTACACTTCTGTCAGAATACTTTCCCACAGTATTACATCAACAACTGAATAAAAATATGTATTTGTATGTTCAGACTCATCATTATAAATAAAAAATGACCAAAAAAAATGATAAAATCACAGGGAACTGAGACAAATGTGGCTATCCTTACTGAGGAAGGAATCCTTGGTAAGCACCAAGATGGACAACAAGAGGGCTTCATGTGCTCTATCTCCTCCCCTTTTTTTTCTTGCAGCCTCCTCAAAAGTCCTGCATTTGCTATTGCTATCACCATGGCAGAATGATAAGAAAATTGGCATTTTGGCTCAGAGACACTGCTTGCCTATGAGCAGGTCCTGCTTCTGGGAACCTTTATCTACTCCTAAACAAGGCAAAGGCACAATGATGCTGTCAAAGGGAAAACACCCTCTTTCATACTAGTGCACTGTCAAATATTGACAGCAGACTGAGCAGAAGTTGCCCATCCCAATGGGCAGATGAGGAGGCTCCCTTCAGCTTCTGACCCCGGAGATTAAAACTATTGGAAAAGTTGTCATTGTGCTTAGTCTGCAGAGGCAGATGAGTGCTTGAGTCCTATAAGCTATATTTTTTCTTACAAAATGGTTCTGATTCCTGGGAGCAACAATGGGTAAAGTATGCCATGTGGGCCACAAATGACCCCAGCCTGGGGCATTGTGATGAACCATAAGAGCTTTAAAAATAGTTTCGGAAAACAGGTTTTGTGGAGTTTTGTTCTGCTTATGGAGGGCTCCTGTCTTTACAACAGGAGACTTTGAAATCTTCTGAGGTCTCCAGTCCAAAAAAATGAAACTGAACGTTTCTGTCTGGGCACTTCCTAATCTCTCTCTCTCTCTGTGTGTGTGTATGAATGAATGAATGAATGAATGAATGATTATGTGAATGAATGAGAGCAGATATTTGAGGACTTTCTGTAGGCTGCACATTCGACCACCAAACCTTATGAGGTTGCCTTAGGGAATTTTGTTTGATTCCCCAGGCAGATACTCATTTACCGATATATTGGCCGTCTCTATAAACTAATTTTCCTTCTTTTTTTGTTGTTTGTTGGACAAGGTTCAGAATGCTAAACAAGTAAATAGTGCACTTAAGCAGAAAATTGAAGGTGGGATAGAAGAATTCAAACCTCCTGAGGTGAGTAACTATGAAATTCCAATGGATTTTCAGTTTAATATTGTAGTGGGAACTAAATTGCATATGTATTATCAAGATACTAGACACAAGGTTTTCTCACTAGTACATTTTAACTGTTTTTTGCTTTTTGGGTAAGTCAAGGTAATGCAAAATGTACTAGGGTTAAATTGCATTTTTTATAGAAACTGAAATATGGTATAGCTTTATACAGTCTATTAGAGATGGTCATGAATCAGAAAAATGGGGGATTAATTTTGATTTGTGATTTGTCAAGGTGGATGAATTACAAATTTACAATATTTTTCTGATGAATCAATTAATCAAGTTGAGTGACCCAGGAATACTCGATTGTTTAAGAGTCTGTGCCCCAGGCATTGGAAGAGTAAAGGATGTCATTGTTTGATCCAGTTCTTGGAATCAAACGAAATTCCTGCTTTGGAAGCTAGGGGTAAATGGCTGCTACCCTGTCACAAAATTGCTATGGCCGCCTTACTTGTTATCAGGTCAAGCGCTTATTTGATTATCAATGCTTATATTCCTTCATTGTCTTCTAAAAATCAAAAAACTCAGATGTGGAACCAATTTGAACTTTATATTACAAATTTAGAATCCATAGCCCCCAATGCATATGTGATACTTATGGGAGACCTGAATGCAAGAACTGGATCAAATAATGACATCCTTTACTCTTCCAATGCCTGGGGCAGACTCTGTAGAAAACACACCCTGATGAATTATAGAACATCAAAAGATCTGAAGATCAATTATAGTGGGATATGCCTGGCATGGATTTATTTATTTATTTATTTTATTTATATCCCGCCTATCTAGTCGGTTAAGACCACTCTAGGCAGCTTACAGCAAATAGGATGGTAGAACGTCTTACTCTTTATATTGTACATGGCAATGAACTGTTTGATAATTGCGCAGAATTTACCTTTATATCAGGGAGAGGTAGCAGTGTAGTAGACTATATGTTAATTTCTCCATCTTTAACCAGATTGGTTAAGGAATTCTCTGTCGGACATAGAACAGATAGCTATCATTTACCCCTACTTTTAATCTTGTCACTTTCTAACCCAATACATCTTCCCCCTGAACACCATTTAGGTGACAATGTCTTATCTGTACGATACAAACGTCTAGTTTGGACAGATGAAGTTAATGTAAAAGTCTCGAGTTTCTTAAAATCTCCTACCAGTGAGAAATTAAGAAATTTAATAACAGCACCTATGGAATCTACTTTGGCTTCCATCGTGACAATTGTCAATTTGTCTTTGACTTTAAAACCCTATAAAATGCTATGCTCAGCACCTACAGACACCAAATTTGCGGGAAAACTTCTCCCAACTCTCCTCTATAAGCCCTGCAAGTTTGGTGAAAATTGGGTTTTGAGTTATACACTCACAGGTAGGACACCCCACCCCATCCCCAGATACCTAGAGACATCAAAATCACAGAGAAGTTTCCCCTGACTCGCCTCTGCAATCCTTTCAAGTTTGGTGAAGATTGAGTTTCAGACATACAAGTTATACATCCATAAATTGGGGTCCCCCAGGAAAGTGCCCTTTAGCAGCTGGCTTGGGGAATCCCAATCTTCACCAAGCTTGGAGGGATTGTAGAGGAAAGTCAATAGAAGCTTCTCTGTGTTTTTGGTGTCTTTAGGTGCCTGGGGCCCTATTTTATAGCCTAATGAATCAAACACTGCTAAGAATTCATTGGTTCATATTTGTTGGGGGCATTGATTCATACGAATACATAATGTGAAGAATTTGAAAGCAGGCTTTATTATCATGTGCAGAAAAGACACACAAGCTATCTGCTGCAGAAGATCATTAAACCTTTTGAGAAGAGGAATGAAAATTATTTTACTCCTGATTGCAGCCACTCTTACAGTCTCAACATCTAAGGTCTCCAGTAGATGAACCAGTCTTTGTGAGGGGCAAACTATCTCATTTCTCTTCAGCACTGGAATATATCTTGCTACTTGTCAAACAAGTGACAGATCTCTGCATTGAACAAAACAAAGAGGAGCACCTGCTCACATGGAAGGAAGGGGCCTGTGTTTAATAGTGAACAACTGTCTGAAATCCAGTAGTAAGTTGCAATTAGAGTAGACTCATCAAATGAGTGGGGATTTGGTGAGTCAGCTCTTTCCATTGATTCATTGGGCCTACTCTAGTTGTGAGTTACCATGAAACGTCAGCCACCTTGTGTGTAGAAAGGGTTCCAGGTTCAGTTCTTGTTATCTTCAAGTAGGATGGAGAAGGGCCATAAATTCCAAATTGCTAGCTAAAGAAGAGCTTGAAACCAACATGCATGATGTAGCTGTTTCCATCTAAGATGCTTGCCTGGCCTCTACACCACCAGCTGTGGGAATTTAGGACATTAAAAACAACACATAAGTTTGGAACAGCCCACAAGAATTTGATGCACGGCCTTGAAGAAGATTTATTATCGAAAGCTCACTATTTGTTTTTTGTTTGTTTGTTTGTTTTATATTCTTTGACAGCTGTCAAACCTACAGTTCAATGCATTCCAATGGGGGAAAAATTCACCAAAAATTAACGAAGAGTCAGAACAAAGCCAAATTAAGTTTGCAAAGGCTTTACAAGGTGCACTAACGATCCCAAGCATTTAAAACAGTTTTTGAACATTTTAAGACACTTTAAAAAGAGCGAAAACGGACATCGCAAAACCATTGGAATGCATTGAATAGGCTTCAATGCACTCCAATGGGGGAAACACTGTTTCACTTAGTGATGTTTCCTATGGCGATTTTCACTTAAGGACAGTAATCCGTTCCCATTGAAACGGATTAACCGGTTTTCAATGCATTCCTATGGGAAATGGTGTTTCGCTTAGCGATGTTTTCCCATAGCGATGTTTTTTTGGAACCAATTAACATCATTAAGTGAGGCACCACTGTACTTCCTTTAATGTAATATAATTAAATTCCTTCATTTTTTGAATATTTTTTACTAAATATATAACTAAGTATTTAACTGATTTACATAACTTAAAGTCATGTTTCTCAACAAACCTTTCTTGTTCTCATTTATTATGATTAAACAACATTATTTCAGATTTTTGCCAATTTACACGTAGTCCAGTTATTTTTCTAAATTTTTCCAAATGAATTGTAATTTTATCTATACTTTCTACTGGGTTTTTCGCTATCAAGAAGGAATCATCAGCAAATAAATTAATCTTTATTTTGTTATTTTCCCCCATACCTTCAATTAAATCATCATTCCTTATCACATTTGCTAACATTTCAATAATCAAACAAAACAGAACTAGAGAAACAGGGCAGCTTTGTCTGGTGCCTTGGCCTAGATCTATCTGTTCTGTCATCCCACCATTAACTATTACTACAGAGGTATTCTCCACATATAATTGGTCTATTATCTCCTAAATTTCTTTCCCAAACCCCAGCCCTTTAACAAAATCTTTAATGTTGGCCATTCTACACAATCAAATGCCTATGTCTAGTGATAAAATACCTGCCTTTGATTTATCTTTTTCTATATTATATATAATATTCAAGACCCTCCTAGTTAAATTCTCCATTTTCTTGCCCTTTAAAAATCCATTCTGATCTTCTTTAATATATTTTGTAATAAACTTATTCATTCTATTCGCAAGTATTGCAGTGAATATCTTTGCATCTTGATTTAATAATGAAATAGGTCTATACAAACTTGGGTCTGTTAAATCTTTATTGGGTTTTGGAATAAGAGTTATTAATGAATGCTTCCAGGAATCTGGTATTTTCTCTCCTTTCAATATCTCATTATAGAGTATTTTTAATTTAGGGATCAATATTGATTTATATTCTTAATGGTTGATTAAAGGTATCACCTGCATTAGGATGGAGAAGGACTCCTATCTAAAATGTGGAGCCTTGCAGCCTGTCTTGAGGAGTTGGGCTAAATGATCTGAATTAATACAAGGTGGCTTCCTTTCCTTCACTTCAGGAATTCCTCCAAAGCCCTTGCAAAGATAAAACTGTAGAATTAGTTGATGTAAATCTGGATTGGAAGTGGAAAATGTTGTTTATAATTGAAATAGGCTATTGTAGTTTTCAAACACTTCCTCATAATTTTCTTTCTCTGTTAACAGTCAAATCAAAAAATCAATGCCCGTTGGACAACAGAAGAACAACTCCTTGCAGTTCAAGGTACATTACCATTCCTAATATTTTATTAAGACCCATGTGTGTTACAACCTGGAAGATGTTTCAAAAATTGGATTGTAGCTGCCTTTTCCCTTTAAATAAATATTTATGACACCATGGTATGGTAATTTTAAAATGCAATAAAGATTATTTTGTCAATCTGCTTATTGAGAGGAATTATTCCAAGATAAATTTGGTAAATATACCAGAAGAACAATAATTCCATTTAACATACAGTCTCAATAGAATAAAAAATGTATGACAGAAATCTAAAGAAGTTAACTCATCCAAAACTTTCTTAAAACCCTAACTTCTCAACATATTCTCTCATGGGTTTGAGATGCTGTTTGATGCCCCCCAAAAACAGATAGATAGCTATTTAACCATCTCCTTTTAAAGAAAGTATAACATGCAAGGTAAGAGTCCCTGTAAGTGTGAAATCATTTAATACACTGTTGCACTTTTCTTGTGATTAGCTGTTCATTGTGCCAGCAGATGTACACAGCTGTTATAAGTAATATCTATCCACCTATAGCAGCCCCCCTCCAATCTTAATAGTTATTGTTATGTGCCATCAAAATTCCTTTGACATACAACAACCCTATGAATTAATGACCTCCAAAAGGTTCCTACTAACATTCCTGCCCAAGTTTTGCTAACCAAAGGCTGCAACTTCCACCCATCTCATATTAGGCCTCCTTCTTTTCCTTCAGCTCTTCCTAACATTATTGTATTTCCAAATGAGGCCTGTCTATTTGTGAGATGTCCAAAGTATAGTGGCATCATTTTAACTTCTAATGAGTTCAAGCTTGATTTGATCTAGAATCTACTTATTTGTCTTTCTGCAATCCATGGAATGCATGTAAATAACTATCAATAAAAATAATTTCGCCTCCAGAGTTCTGATAATACTGTGGTCAACTAATAGATTTAAAAATACCCTCTCCATAAAAGCAGCAGCAGTCCATGAATTAAACATGCAAATTATTCCAATATTTTGGATTGGTGAAGTAATCTTTAAATCCTTCAGTTTTCCTACTCTTAACACAGTCTGATGCTGTTAAAAGATTTCAGTGCATCTTCTTTAGGAAAACTAAGAAGAAGCAAAATCAGTTGGTGAATGAATTGTAATTTAATACTGGCACATTAAATCTTGTTCTTGTTTATGAATTGCTAAAATTCCACAACACACAATCTTCCCTCTTTACTAAAATAAATGGATCCCTTTATCAGTTCTAACAGGTACGTCCACAGTTTTATTCATTTATTTATTGGTAATCCTTTGAGACATTTATTGTTTAAAAGGCACAGCAGATCATAATTTTGGGAAAGTGTTGAAATCTTAAAAGCAGGCACACAGCAAGGAAAAGATGGGAAAAGGAGAAAATCTCTTAGACCCAAATGCAATTGCTAGTTCCAAGTGGAGTAGACCCATCGAATTAATGGGATGCATGTAAGCGTTCAGTTATTATTTTAAAAAAATTGATACAGTAGGTCTGCTATAGCTGAGGCTTAGGAATTTAGTTAGAGGGCCTTAATGGATACCTCTTAAGGGTGAGCTTTGGCTGAAATGAAAATGAGCTTTGGTTGCTTAAAAATTATCCTGTCCAAGCTACAAAATTAAGCATAGTTAGGTAAGTGGAGAATCACTGGAGATAATGGAGCTTGCTTCTGTGTAAATGCAGAATTGAACCATTCTTTAAATTTTTGCTTTCGGTTGCAGGCCAGTGTGCACTTTCTTGGGAGTAAATATTAGTGAACTCACAAGTGAAATATTGAGACTCAGACCCCTTGAACTGTAATTTATTTTAACCAAAATCCAGTGTGGTGCTTGCCATAGTACTGACACTTTAGTCTCTACTCCCTGAAACCAAAGCACTGAAAACATGTTAAGCCCTCCAGAGCAAGAATGTGAGGTGATGGGGGCCTATGGCAGGAAAGAATGATTGGGCACTCTGCCCACTCTGGATTCTGCTCTTGTGCAGGCAGTTCTCAATTCCTGCTAAATATATTCTGTTCTAGCATTTATTACCTGCATAATAATTTCTTGTTCATGAACCCAATTAACCTGTATCCTCAAAAAAATTAAACCAAAATAGAAAATGGTGAGATCTATAGCAATATTCTGTATGTATTTCAAATAAAACAAGTTATTCACATGTCTAAAAACAGAAGACAAAGCTAGTAGGATTAATACCCAAACATGTAACAGGTTGTTTCCTGAAAAAAATATAGTGCTGTCACATTAAGCATCTCAAAGAACTATTGTTGCCCAGATTCTCATGTCTAGGATTTGACATCAATGTTTTTCTTGAGGTCCTCTACTTATTTTTGCCACATACTGTTTAATCAGTGCGCTAAATAGTTGACCACAGGTAGACAACCTTTAGGAATTTTTATTTCCTCTACAATTTCTGTTGCCCTAGCTACCTGTGGTGAGGGACAATGAGTGTTGTCTTTCTAGAGAAGTACAATTGCCCAATGATGTAATCTTTTTCTTGAAAAGAGTCTTACAAGGAATAAATTCAGCAGTTTCTTTTCTGACCAAGGATGTATAGTCCAATTCGTGTTATCAACCAACAGAGGGCATTCTAGAAACAGATTGTCAGTAACAAACAAATACAGTGTTTTTATTTTATTAATTCATCAAAGAGTAAATTCTGATGGAAGCAGTTAGAAAAGAATATTTCACTTTCCTTTAAAGGGATTTTCAGCCAAATTACAGATATGGGCTTCTAACTTTGTAGGCTCCTTCAGCATAAATAAATAGAATACATAAAATATTAAAACTCAGTAATAAAACAGACCAGCTATTCACTTTATAGTGTTCTACACAGTGTTACAAATCCTAACAGAAGCCCCACAATGTAGTATTTAAGAACTCATTTTTATGTATTACCCATAGATGGCATATATACATTATACAGACTTCTGCTTATTGACTTGAACCTTCATAGGTATATTTACTTTGCCTTTTTAGGTGTCCGCAAGTATGGTAAAGATTTTCAAGCTATTGCTGATGTAATTGGCAACAAGACTGTTGGTCAAGTGAAGAACTTCTTTGTAAACTACAGGCGTCGGTTTAACTTAGAGGAGGTATTGCAGGAATGGGAAGCAGAACAAGGAACCCTGGCTTCTAATGGTGATGCTTCCGCTTTAGGGGAGGACACAAAAATTACTAATGTGCCATCAGGAAAGAACACTGATGAAGAAGATGAGGTGTGTTTTTGTGTACCGGATCTTAAGTAAGCATGAGTTCAGGAATGACATTAAACTTCATATCATAAAATGTAATATTTAACTTGAAGTGGAGTGTCGAACGACCAGCTGAGGAAGCTTATTGCATCCTGGTACTTAGAACAATCTACTGGCCATGTCCCATTCAATTCTACGGGACTTACGTTAGCAGAATGTTTTTAAAACTGGGCTACCTATGCCTCTTCCCAAAATGTACTGTGACAGTACTAATATGGAAAAAATATATAGCTGAAAAATGTGGAATTTCTAAGCTTAACTTTTCCCCCGTTTTTTAAAAAAATGTACTGAATGTTTCTCTTTCACTGTGTGAACAGCTTAGAAATGGTTGCTTTTGAAAGAAGGGTTTCATAGCCACCAAAGTGGATGAACTAACTATGCTTCCCTCATTCTGGAGGCAATGACAACCCAAACTGCATAATATGAGAGGATGGCTGCTTTGACATATCTATATCACTTTATTTATAGGCTCAGATCCCACAGACCCCTCAGTGTGTAGGGTCTTCTCCACCTGCCCAGCCGTCTACTCCAACACCAGCAGCCCCCGTAACAACACTGAACCAGCCTCCTCCATTACTTCGTCCAACCCTTCCGGCCGCTCCAGCTCTCCATCGTCAGCCTCCACCACTCCAGCAACAGGCTCGATTTATTCAGCCAAGGCCAACCCTAAACCAACCCCCTCCACCACTCATCCGCCCAGCTAATTCCATGCCTCCTCGTCTAAATCCGAGACCAGCGTTATCTTCCACTGGCGGCCCACAGCCACCGTCGCTTATTGGAATCCAGACAGAATCACAGTCCCCTCTGCACTAAAGAAGTAGGGCAGAACTATGGTAAATAACCAAACTGTATCAGTGTCTATTTTTCCTGAGATAATGAAGGTGGGAGGGAGATGAAGCCTTCCATAGTATTTAAGTGGTCTTGTACAAAAAAGCAAGGCTGCAGCAGCAGAAATACATGAATGGCCACCTGTATGAAAGAATCTTCAGTGCAGTCGATTGTTACAGCAAAACCATGTCTACAAAGTCAGCCTTTTTTTTACACAGCTAACTTCTTTTAAAAAAGTACAATGCACTAAGACTTAACCGATTTTTACTCTATTTATTTTATAAAATTCTTTATATTCAGCTACATGGAAACAAACCATCTGGAGAGTGTAAGAGTTTCAGCTTAAGTTCTGAAGTGGGTTGTAAACCTGATATATTGGAGAAATTATTTTTACATTTTCCTATGTTAGGAGCGCAAGCGTTAACTAACAAGCCTGCCATTCAGATTTTGACAGATATTGTAACCATATGTTTCTTAGGCTTGTCTTTTCTAAATTTCTTTATCAATTGCTTTTCTTCAATATACCTATTGGAAAAGTTGTCTTGAACATTTGCAAAGCCAAGGTACAAAATAGGTAAAACCTATATATGTGGTCTTCTGATACTGGAAGCATGACTTTGTAGCGCAAAATCTGTATTAAGCGTTAGATGAGCCAGCGTTTTTGCTTTATCTTTTACACAGCCTCTGTTGCCATGTGGCTGCTAAAGTTTTTGTCATTTTCTTTTTAAATAATCTTTGTAGTACTGCTTTTTACCTGGAATTTTATCCTGTCTAGTATCTGACAGTAAAGCAGCAAGGAGTGCCCTGATGAAATCCATAGAAAGGGGTGTTGTAAAATAATGAGATATTAAGAAAGTTGTTACCTGCCATTGCCATCTTTATTTTTTTGGTGTTCCTTGCCAATGCATCCCTATCCCTACTTTTACTTAGTATTAAAACAGATACGAAATCATGCTTTACCTAATTAGGAAACAAGTGGTACAGCTGTGTGTTGGCTTGCTTCACTTAGTTTTGGGCAAGGAATGCTGAGTTCAAAAGTTTTCTGTCTTCATGAAGAGATGCATATTTCTCCTCTACTGTGCAGCTGACTTCCCCACTTCTTACTGAAGCAATGATGTTTAACATTCAAGGTTCAAGATGATTTTGTGTACAGAGATATGTATCAACCTTGCATTTTACAGCTCACATGTCAACATTTTCAGATTTATCCATTAATTCATTTTCTTAAATTCTTTTTAAAAGAATCTTATTTAAGTAGAATTTTCTTTTGTTGTAGTATATTAGATGCAAATGTCCTGTCCTATACTCTCAGTCATAGTATTTTGTTTTAAATACTGACATTTGAAAGGAAGAAACAGCACTGTCAATTGCCAGAATTCTTAGTACTTTGATTCTGAGGTCAACATAAACCCTCTGAATTTTTCCAAATGCTTTGTGCATTTTGGCATAACTCTTTAAATACCAAACCGCATACAATGGATTTTCAGTATTTTAAGTATGTAGATCCGATCTCCCAGTGACTGTATTGTCCTTTTTTGCTAACTTTTTGTCTTGTCTCTTGTTGCTAGAACTTCAGTATACAGAAGGTCGGGTGCTGCCATGCAGATGGCAATTTTAGACTATCAAAGCTGTAACTGGGCACTTGTGTGTTTGGGTGAGATAGGTATGTAGTGTAATACTGCTTTACATACGCTATACCACACAATAATGAAATGTTTAGCATTTGTAGTACTGAATATGTATATAGCAAGATGTTGTCCTTTTTAAAATTGTGTGCTTTCCAAATTATGTGCATACAGCTTGCACGTTCTGTTTTGGGTAGGGGGTTGCGTTAAGCAGTGTTTTTTTTCCGGCCTGGAAGAGTGATATGCTTGCTGCTTAATCAAAGAATTAAAGTTTCCAAGGAATCTGTGTCTATTTTTATGTACCTTGTAATGGTTTAAAATGTTTAGGGCCCGTATACTGTGATTCTCTTCTAAATTCATTTATATTTTTTTAAAGATTAGAAATAAAACTATATGATTTTTCATCTGAAAGGGGTTTTCCTTTTTCTGCCATACTATTAAAAAATCCAGCTTGACTTTGTACCGTTGCTGTAAACTACAATCTATTAATTTTAGTTTACTTTTTGTCACTTTATGAAATGTAAAATGTTTGCACTCCCTTTAAGTTGGGCAGAGAAAATATTTCTTACATTGATTTTGACAAATGTACCTTTACAGCTCCTTTTTTATGTACAGTTTTTCAGTTACAATAAAGAAATATTAAAACTTTTAAATGAATGGCCATTTTAAAGGTTGATATCTATATTGAATTGGTTAGAAAGGAGGGTTGGGATGACACTGACCATTTTGCTTGTCTGCACAGAGTATTTATGCCTGAATCTTTTTAGCAGTGTGCAATTTAATCATGGGACATTACATTCTTTATATTCTGTACAGTATTAGTACTTTTGTTGTTGTTGAAAAAGTAAGCCCTTTTAATGTATGTGAGATATTATCAATGGTTTAGGTTCCAGGATGCTGTCATTTGGAGATACTAAGGGGAATGAGACCAGATGTGCCATTCGTACCATAGCTGGTTTTTAAAATATGTGGTATCAGAACATGGTGTCACATTAAGGGCAATGCAAATCTTTTAAACACTCTAGGGCCTGAAAACAGGCTAGGTGGGGAGATGGACCTTTGATAATATTTGTGTTAAAAGGAATGTGTTTCCTTTGTTCTTACCTGCCTTCACCACCAAAAACATGGAGATGCTAATCATGCCTGAAGTGATATTTTCAGGAAAGACGACTGAGTTGCTGTAGTAAATAATGGTGACAGGAGATGTCCTAGATAAGCAGCAGGCAACATTTGTCAGATCTGGAATCCAGTTTTCTGCTTCCAGAATCTTCCAGGGACAGCACGGACTGTTCAAAATGCCAAAACAACAAAACCCCATACACAACCCTTGGAAGAGGTCATAAGTCCACTTACAGCTTTGTAAAATGGGCAGTGTGTCTGCATGTCGAACAGCACTGTGAGTGAGCTGGAACCCTTGAAAGGTAGATTGCTGTTCCTGCAAGCAATTTGCACTCCTCGCTATCAGGGAAAACCATTTTTATGTGGAGTTGGATGCAGCCAGGGATTCTAAAAACTGATATAATGGATTCCAAAAACTCTGCTTTGCTTATACCTCTGAAGGCATTATTGGCAAATTTGAAAGGACCCAGTCACTGGGTCCAATACAGTGGTGCCTCGCATAACGAGCACACCGTTTAACGACAAATCCGCATAGCGACGCGTTTTTTGTGATCGCTAATGCGATCGCATTGCAATGTTTAGATAGGCTAAACATCGCATTGCGATGATCGGTAAGCGTTTCGCTTACTGATCTTCGCATTGCGATGTTTAGAAAACAGCTAATCGGCGGTTCCAAAAGGGCCGCTGGATCAGCAAAATGGCCACCCGCAGCGTTTTTGTGCCCTGCCCTCGCTTACCGGGCAGCAAAAATGGCGGCCGGATGGGGGAATCTTCACTGACCAGTGAGTTTTTCCCCCATAGGAACGCATTAAACAGAGTTTAATGCGTTCCTATGGGGTTTTCCCCCCGCTTAGCGACAAATCCAGATAGCGACGTTAATCCTGGAACAGATTAACGTCGCTATGCGGGGCACCACTGTATCTTAGTAAAAAATATGTAACACATCTCCAGAATCAGTCTCTGCACCAGAGGACAAAAATGGACAATGCATTGTCAGTTTTGAAAAAAGGACTAACAGGAAGCTTCAGACCATCAGTTTGTATATATCAGTGGATCATGTTATTAAAGATAAAATGTACAAACATGTCAAAAGGCAAGCCTCACTGGAAAAGAATAAATATAGTTCACAAATGTAATTTCTATCTTACAAAACTGAGTTCTTCTACAGTACCAACAAATGCAATCAAGAATGATTTACCGTTGTTTACCTGGATTTCCAAAAAGCCTTCTGTAAAATACCTTACCAAATCCTAAGCAAAGGATTATACATTGTTTCCAAAAAACAAGCAGAGAATATGAATGAACAGCTCTTAACAATAGAGAGAAGTAAACTCTGATAAAAAAACAAGCAGAGAATATGAATGAACAGGTCTTAACAATAGAGAGAAGTATACTCTGATATGTCTATTTACTTATTTATTTATTTATTTATTTGATTTATATCCCGCCCATCTGGTCTATATGTTCCCAAATTCCACACAAATAAAAGGGAGCTGTGTGGTCAGCACAAAATATAAATGTGAGAGCAGGCAATACCTTTATTGATCACTAAAAATATAATACAATACATGAGTTTTCATGAATCCAGACTCTAAATTCTGTTATCGACACTAAAAATTTTAATGTGTTCATAAATTATATAGATGAGCAATGAGGTGGACAATCTATGGTCTTCCAGATATTGCTAGCATTAGATTCATTTCATTTGCTCAGCTGATGGGAATTGCAGTGCAGCAGCTTCTAGAAGGCTACAGGTTCCCCAACAGTGCTGTAGCAGAGCCTACTCCATCATCTCTAGAGAACAAAATCTAGGTAGGTGAATGCAGGATACAGATTAATCAGTAGTGGCAGCATGAAGATATACATAGAGTTTGTTGCAACCAAAATATTACTTTAACAGAATGAGTGCTGAGGAAACATTCACAGGATTCCGAGAAAAGAAGATTCGATATTCAGTAGAAATGACAGACTTTAAAGAGGAAAAAAAAGTTAAATACCTAGGAATTTGGATGACAAAAAAAAACAAGCACATTAAAAGACAATTACATTAAACTAATTGGGACAATTGAAAAAGATTTGGAAAAATGGTCAAAATTTCAATTATTCATGGGGAGGATTGCAGCTATAAAGATGTATGTATTACCTAAAATGATATTCTTTTTCCAGACAATATCAGTTCTTACAAAACAGCTAATACTTCAAGTGCTTACAAAAAAATAATGATGTTTGTATGGCAAGGGAAAAAAACTGGAATAAAAATCAAAGCACTTCAACATACAAAACAAAGAGCAAGTTTTGAAATTCCAGATTGATTTTTATATTATAAAGCCTCTGTTCTAGTTTGGATAAAGGAGTGGACAGTTTTAGAAAATGACAGATTACTAAAACTAGAAGAACTTGATATAAACCTAGGGTGGCATGCTTTCCTATGGTATCAAAAAGTAAAAGACAATAAATTTAAGAATCATGTGATAAGGAAAGCTTTGAACTGGGTATGGACTAAGATTCGAGAGGAAAATTACCAGAAAGTTCTCGAATGGGTCTCACCAATGGAAGCATTTTCACAACCAATATTAATGGAAAAGAAACCCTTGAGATACAGGGATTTGTTAAAAGAGGAATTAAGTATGAAATCAAGGAAAGAATTACAAGAACAAGGTATAATACTGGACTAGTGGACAAAAATGCAAATAAATTTGAGGTACACAAGAGATAAAACAATCCGCTTCAGTAAGGAACAGATACCACTAGATAAGGTACCTCTGAATGTAAAGGAAAAAATGGATTAAAATGTACAATTATTTACTAGAATTAAAAACGCAAGATGAAATAGTTAAAGAATGTATGATAAAATGGGCCAAAAATGTGGGTCACAGTATTAATCTGGAATCATGGTCACAAGTATGGAAAAATAGTATTGAGTTAACAAAATCAGTTAATCATAAAGAAAATATATACTGTATACGATGTTCTACAGATGGTATATGACACCTGAAAAATTATCTAAAGTATATCAGAATACCTCTAACAAATGCTGAAAATGTAAATCAGAAGAAGATAGTTTTTATCATATGTAGTGGACTTGCAGGCAAGTTAAACGCTTTTGGAAACTAGTCCATGAGATCTTACCAAAAATTTTATCTTATACAATTCCATACAAACCTGAAATGTTTTTGTTGAATATAGTACCAGATACAATAGAAAAAGAAAAAAGATACTTGATCATACATGGAACTACGGCAGCAAGAATGTCATTTGCAAAATACTGGCAAATTTAGGAGACACCAATAATACAGGAGTTAATAGAAAAAGTTTTTGACGTAGCACAGATGAATATTTTAACCGAAGTATTACAAAAGGACAAATAAATTGTTGAGACTAGGAAAAATGGGAACCTTTGTATAATTGGATGAGAAACAAGAACATGAATGGGTTAAGATTATAAGAAAGAAGATTTAAGATATAAATCTAAATCTTAAAGGCTTAAAAAAAATTGGCAAGGTTAGATTGAAGTTTGTTAAGATTATAAGAAAGAAGATTTAAGATCTAAATCATAAAGGCTTAAAAAAATTTGGCAAGATTAGATTGAAGATCAGTAAGAAGTCATATAGGTAAAAGTAATAATGATAAAAATTGTTCTTCTTCGTGGCCTCTGTGAATGCACACAAATGGGTTGTTCCACACCTGCGCAGGATGTATCTGAAGTTTCTAGGGCTTAAAAGCATGTGATAATGAGACGTTCCCCCATGGAGTGCATGCTCCGCCCTCCCAACGTCCCTCAGTTCCTTTTTACTGCCACTTCAGTAGGACGTATTTTGGAACGCTAGAGCGATGTTGCAGCGAGTATTTCTTCAATCATCTAAATTTTACATTTTATGTGTATACACACACACACACACACACACACACACACACACACACACACACAATCATCTTTGTCTTTGACGTTCCCCTGTGATTATCAACTATTTGTATTCAGTCATCTTTGTCTTTTACGTTCCCCTGTGATTATCAACTATTTGTTTTCCCCCATCCAGTTTTCTCTCTTCCCGCATTTTTCTTCCCCCTCCCACAATCACCATTTCCCCCTTCTTCTCCTTTTTTATGCCCCCCAGGCCATTCAAATGGTGCGTCCTTTGCGCCAACAAAATACCCCTCACAGTCAGGCACGATCGTTTATTTTGCCTGGGAGAACATCATCAGACGCACCCGTGCCCCAAGTGTAAAAAACTTACCAAACCGGCCCTCAAACTACAATTACAATGTTTGCAATCTTACCTTTGGGAACAGTCCCTAAATCAGACCATGGACCCGACAACATCAACAACTCCGAGAGAAACGGCTTGCCCCATATCAAGCCCAATGCCGGTACCATCTCGTCAGAAGGAACCTTCAAAACCTTCTTCGAAGTCCAGCTCGACTCCCATCTCGAGAGCTCCAACCCGTTCTGATGATTCATCTAAAAAGAAAAAGGATACAGCTAAGACAAAACTAAAGAAAATGACAAAATCCACTCAAATTGACCCTTCTCAAC